TGGGTCGCTCTAATCATAAAATTCATAAAAAGACAAAATAAAAGAAAATTGACTCACCACCACATTTCCGGCGTCCATCACCAAGATACGATCTCTGTCCACAACGGTGTTGAGTCGATGAGCAATTGTTAGCACTGTACACTTCTCGAATTTTTTCCTGATGGTTGTCTGGATGAGTTCGTCTGTTTGCGGGTCCACATTCGCGGTCTCCTCGTCCAACACGAGTATTGGATTGTTCCTCACAATAGCTCGCGCCATGCCGACCAATTGCCGTTGGCCGACGCTGAGATTGGAACCGCCCTCACTGATGTGGACTTCCAAGCCCATCTCCTTCAACTCGACCTCCTCAAGAGCTCGCCATAGTGATTCGTCCGTAAACGAGTCGAACGGATCGAGATTCTGTCTCAGGCTACCGGAGAACAGAAACGGTTCCCGTGAGATGATGTTGATTTTAGAACGCAAATCATGTAAACCAATCTGACGAGTATTGACTTTATTGATCTTAATCAGACCATCCACATCGACCAGGTGGAAGAGCGCTCAGAGATGACTTGCCGGCGCCGGTTCTGCCAACAATGCCGATTTTTTCCGTAGAAAGATAACGAAACTGAGATTTTTAAACACTGGAGATTCCAATGGCGCATAACGCAGGAACGTGTTCTTGAATTCAATCTGGCCTTCTTGCGGCCATTCGGATTTAGGTTTCTTATCAGGGACACTCTTGAGAGGGAGTTCGCTGTCTATTTTGCTGGAAGGTATCGAAATAGGGAATGCGGTTTTAATTTAAAGAGACTGGAATGAAAGCCTCCATATTTCTAGTTATTTATGAAACTTATATATAAATTTGAATGCCTATATAGATTAAAAAAAAGTACGAGTATTAAAAAAATCAAAAATTAAAGAAGGTAAAAGACATAAATCAAAGATCGATGATTTACAAATTCATCGCTCTAAGAACTAAGGTTTCATGTATGCACAGAATTTGAAGGTGTTAAAACATTAAGAATCTATAATATACTACAATATCAAGATATTCAAAGAAGAGGCGAGTACCTGTATTCAAGGA